TTGGTGCTCTACTACGGTTGTCCCCGTATTTCTACTTCAGGAGGGTTACAGTTGGTTGGGGGAGGGGGTGCTGGTGGCTTAGAAGGGGTGTGAGTGGGAAGGAAGTCTCTGCGGAAAGATTTCCGGGTGTCTAATCACTGTTATCCACCTTTTCCTGCACCCCATTCCTAGACGGTGTATGCGTTACGGAGCGTCATTAAGATTCATGACGGCAGTCAGCATTCCTAATCACGGGGCGCTGGGCAGACACACACAATTAATCGTGGACCATCGCTCGCTGCTCAAAAAACACACTTTTAATTAACAGAAGTACGTACGTTTTAGCAAGTGTTGGTTTCCAAAGAAAGAAAAATTTCTTGATAAGCCAAATATGTCTTGAAATATATTTTTATTCTTTATTCATTTCTTTATCCTTTACTTATCTTTGCTTTTTATTCATAACTTTGTCTTTCCCCAATATTTTCTTACGTATTTATTTACTTACAGATAACATAATTTTCATCCATAATTGTTTTTTCTGAAATACAACGCCTTGGGGACCTGCAGATATCGACGTTTCGGAGAAACATAGTCTTCTTCTTCAGGGACTTGTTTTAATACGCCCCCGTCTCCTTATTCATCTCTTTCTCTTTATTCATTCTTTGTTCATGTAGTTTTAATGACCTTATCCGCGCACTTCTGTTTTCAGAGTCTGTTAATGTGTTAACAAAAGAGGTCGGAAAATACGGCAGAGTTAAACGCAGATGGCAAACATATTAGTCGGCCTATTCAAAGAGTTTCAGGTCCGATCCCCAGCGTCCAAAACCCGTTTCAAAGATAAAAAGAAATAAATAAACCTTTAAGTGTAATATAAGACGAAGAACTGAAGAGTGGGTAAGAGCCACCTCCCACAGAAGTCGAATAATATTAAATGTATAAGAGACGATGGACATTGTCCATCACAATCGTGGGCAAGTGAAAGCAATCCAGCCATAAGATTATTCTTATTATTGCACACAATGTGACGAATCAAACATGGAAATGGTTTCAGTCACACATTGGCCGCGTTTCTCAACGTGGCCGATGAAGTAACATGTTGAACACAAGTAACGGGAAAAATTAAAATTAATTTCTGACAAAGGTGACTCTGGTAGAATGAAATATAAACCAAACTATTGTGGAGTTTATGGTGGGGTTTGAGTCAAGTTGTCGTTCAGGGCGAACACCCTGATGATGGAAGTGGTAAGCACCTCTGAAACATCGGTTAATTTCTACAAGACTACACGGCGAAAAATCCTAGAAGACAATTATCTTCATACTCGCTGCTGTGAGAACTTCAAATCTCAGATTTTAGATATTAATCGAAGAACATCCTGATTTATACAAATCACCCAGTTTTACTACGAAAGTGAAATCAACGATTATAAATGTAAGAAGCAGTCAACATGACATAAAATACAACTTAATTCTATTTCAATAGATATTTATAGGTCGGGCATTCGGTTCTTGTGAGGAAAAAAACTGATACGAAATCCTGAAGGGAATTTTTTTGGAAATCTCAAGAAAAAGACTGGGAAGAAGGTGGGAGGATAACACCAAGAAAAGACTTATATTTTATAATTATACGAGGTGGATAGAAGAGTCTCGCGATCGAATACAATGGCGGACATTGGTTGGTTAGTTATCTTTTCAGTAATTAACGCAGTAACATATTTAAATCTTTCTGAAAAGTTTTCTTTTCTACCAATCGAGGTAGGACAGCATCCAGTTATATAATGTAATAAAAGAAGTTTTCATAACATTATAATTCACAGCACCTCTGATTTCTATCAGCTTTTTATTATTATAAATTAAGAGTGTCAATAAAATAAGCAATAAATCTGATTCATTAACGATATTAATTTGTATTGTTAATACAACAATTACTGTAATAGCTTGTCGTGACGTTAGGCCATTTAGTAAACACAAGGTAATTTGATGTAGTAAGGGCGGGTACGATGTTCCAAAATTACCTGTTCTAACTCAGAAGGGACATTTCAATGGCCTTAGTTTGTGGTGATAACCACTTACTAGGACTTTTTTATGCTTTATCCCTTGGGGCTTCGTCCATCATAAGTAAAACAGGTAGCACTGATCAATCACTAGTCTGACTGCTTAATTTCTCCTGCGAACTAGACTGACATAAAGAGGTGACGCACAAACAGAAGGACACGCTTTTCTTATATGAAATAAGGTTTTCTAAAAATCGTAGCAAAAAATATAGTAATCATACGTTGCAGGGAAGGGGTTAGGTACCCAAGGCGATCTACAGATTCAAGTCTGTCATATTTCACATTCTAATTGCGGGTCCAAAGTCTAAATTCGGCCCTGGTAAACTTTTTAAGCGGCTCGCTACATAATTTGGGAATTTTGCCATTGCAAGAACAATAAAAAATTTCTGATACTGAGAAACGTTAACAAACACACATTTATATTATATAAACATGAAAACAAACAAAATAAAAAATTTAATCAGACAAAAATTTTGTAGAAGTAGACCTACAAGGTTAAAATCGTGTTATATCTCAAAGGTACATTTTTCATTGGTTAAACTACATTAAATTTAACAAAACAATAAACATATTAAGGTGGTTTAAATAAGTAGAAGTGTAAACAATTACTTGAAATTAAAAGTGTCTGAAAGCTGATAACAACGCCTTTACCACAAACTTAGCTGTTTGGAAAAATATATCCATTTTCAAGAAAATACTAGCTATTATTCTGTAAGTTAAATAAATTCAGTTTTGCTTACTGTCCACGACACTACGGAATTTTTGTGGCCTTTCACAAATATGTGAATAGCCAATATTGAAAACGTTTGCTCGCCGTTGGTCTAAAACATCGCATACAGAGTCTTATAACATAAAATATAGCACATACCTTGATCTTAAATGAAGGGCAGTTTTAGATACACATATTTACTGTTAAATTTACAACTGCAGAGAATAAATCCGAGTAAGGCAAGCTCCAGATTCGATTTAATGTGCCTTAAGAGATCAAAGACGCCCAGAGCTTAAGAACATTGTGTCAGAATGAAACACTACGCCTGTACTGGTAAGAATATTATAAGCAGTTGCAGGTTCTCGAATATACGATAACTTAAATACTGTCCGGGTCTTAAATAGTAGGCGGATACGACATAAATTACAAATAACAGCCGTTACTAACAGAGAAAAGATAAATTATGATTATTTCTCAAATATTTTAAGGTTTTCACGGTGGCGGTAAGATATTGTGCTGTGTAGCCTGGTAGAACCTGACTGACGTTTCATCATTGGGGCAATGAACGATATGTCGCCCTGATGACGGAGGCAGTATGAAGTTCTGAAACGTCGATCGGAGCAATATCCCAAAAGGCTCTCTCATCTTCATATGTGTAACAGTAGCCGGTTAATAGCATAGAAATTACACAAAGTGGCATGGGGTGCAGTCAAAACTTCGTTCTCTGTGTAATGTAAAAATTGTTTTATGTGTCCTTTATGTTTTCAGTTGCTTGTATCGGCCCTAGTTCATTGTATAGCTTCCAGCTTTGAGAATGAGATAAAAAAACACCTTATTTTTCACACCCAATTTTTCACTAAGTAGTTTTTAAGGAACCTTGCGTAAAAAAGAATGGACCCTAGCTGCCGTGCTACGCCTTTCCTCTCCTGTCCGTGTCGAAGAGCCTCGAGGCAGACAGAAAACCCAGTTGGTCGACCGCATCTTCAAACTGACGCGCCGGCCCTGGGGCCAAGGTCTAAGCATAGTACACGTCAGATCTTGTGTCAGCCCATTTCACACACAAGTAAGAATTTTCTCCCAGAAGCAAGGTTCCTGTCAAAATTTGCAAGGGGGAACTCTGTAGACCACTATCATGTTTAATTAATTTGAAATGTTTCGTTTATAATTTCGTGCAAGTAGCTATGTTACGATTCCCAAAAGGACAGGGAGATCCAGAGCTTAATGCAGCAAATGGAGAAAAATTAAGATCTCTTGAGTAATTTCAGTGCGATTCTTGTAGACCGAAATTACAAACGGCAGACGTACTTGATAGCAAGACAAGTAAATAACAAAACAACTAAGTATCTGAAAACACGATTAAGTTCCAAAAACGCTGTCGCAGAAGTCTGGAATTACGCTCGGCCTCCAATAACGTAAACAAACTTCCAGAGTAAGATTTCAGGTTCTGACAGTGGTGAGTATGTAGATGGCTGTCTTCTGGAATATCGCGCCGTGTAGTCTGGTAAAAGTTTCAGAGTTGCTTGCGGCATCGCCCTGATGACGTAGGCAGCTAGGATCTCTGAAACGTCGGCAAACGTGTGCCTGACTACACGGCGCTACGACCCAGAAAACAGCCACCTTCGGACTCACCAACGTGAGTACCTCAAATCTTATTTATTACTCCTTGATTGTTTTCTAATGGAAATTATTTCTAAGCGCAGGGCCATAGCTTGTTATATTATATTATAAGCAATGTTATTTAATAGAAAAGTGGGCTCCAAAAGGGCATTAAAAATTAAAATTATTTCTTTAAAAAATAAACTACTTTGCAATTTAAATTATTATAGCACAATGTGCTAATTTTCTAATTTACGTGATACGCAATTTAAAATAAAATTATTTATTACCAAATACGCAGGGTAGAATCTATACCTATTTTTTTGTGTTATGTATCAAGTAACATATTTAATTAGTGTTCAGTTAGCTACTTTGTTATTTAGTTCATTGATTAACTGTTAGTTATTTGTTACCATGTTAATAAGCTACTTCGTTATATAGTTATTTGATTTGTCGTTCATTTAGTTAGCTTTTTATAGTCATTCAATTTGTTAGCTTGTAATTTAGAAATAAATGATTAGCCACCCATTTATCTATCTACTTATTTAACTAGATGGTTTTTTTTTTGTTGTTGTCTTGTCGCAGTTGACTATTTATCTGAACTGTCAGATAAATCGCTAGCTGTTTAGTCAGTTACGATTCTATCACGGTCACGCAATTTCCAGAAGCGGCAATCGTCCGGTTCCGAGGGACCACGTGTGGCGGGCACAGGGTGGGGGATCGCCGCGACGCTGCTAGACGCTGAGTCGGAGTCCTCTCCGGGACGAAAGCTCCGCCCCTACCGAGCTAGGACGCAACGCTGGGAGCAAATATGGCGACCCCCGTCGGGAGCCAGACAAGTCAGGATAACCTTTACATCTGCAGCTTATAAGGTAAAGATGTTTCTTCTATATAAAAGGCGGCTAAATCAATAGCATTTGTTACTAATATATAATATTCTTTTGTACTTCGTCTATTGTAAAAATTATAAAATTACAACGCCTGAAAAGATGGATTTTACTTCCATCTTCAGGTAGATAGAGCAAAAACCTGTTGATCAACCTAGTTCAGCTAGCTTCGTACCTGTTCTAGGTAATGTGAAGAGCTTTCAATAGTTCACAATTTCTCTTTTACATAATTCTAGGTTTTCCCGTGCTCCTTCTTCTGGAAGCATATATATGTATATCTATGTATATGATACATCAGGAATTTCTTCTTGAATTCCTGTGTACATTAAAAAATTATAACATTTTAAACATATAAGTAATCAGAACCTGTACCACTTGTAATAACGTAAATTATAAACAGCTTTATCACTAAACTGTATAATTACTGATTTAATTCGTGATCGTCTCACTGTTACCATATTAGGCGGTGGAAGTTCTTCTCAGTATCTATTGCTTATTTATTATTTCCTTTCTAGTGGTGTAATTGCTACGTTCATTATAGTATCATTTATAAATTAATTGTAATATAATAAATGTATGATTTGAGATTTTCACAGCGGTGAGCTTGAAGATTTCTGTCTTCTGGGTTGTTGCGCTATGTAGATTCAGCACCCTGATGACGGAGGCAGTATGACCTCTGAAACGTTGGTAAACATCGACCAGACTACACAGCGCAACAACCCATAAGACAGAAATCTTCATAATTGAAAGTTGAAAAGGTTCCGAAGGATTGTTTTCCGTAATACCTTACGCCCTGCACACGTGACATTGACTTCAAAATGGATAGGCAAGTAGAAGACACGATTTCACAAATGAACAGTAGAATAGGTTAGCGCCGTATGGGATATTACACAGAACACGACACGGAGAAAATATTATATAACTTGTTCTTATTTACAGCTTCCTTTCTCAGTATCGTACTTCCAACTGGCAGATTGTCTCACACAGACAAGCTAACTGTAAGCCGAGTCCATTAAACGCCGCCATAAACACAGTTGAAGATTCCGACTTCTTAACTTTCGTTCTACTTTACGATTAGTAGACTTCGGTACATAATACGGGAAACAGGCCTCTATTTCTTCGTAAACATGTCTGTACGCCTAATAAGAATTTTAATACCATATATTATAGATTAATGATATACAAGAGACCCAAAAGTCATATGAACTGCATTCATACCACATTTTATATCTCCTTAGGAGTTAGCATTTATCCATTTCTAATATAATAGCCAATGTCCGTCAAGCTTGACTTGACGGGTGAGTCGTTCGTGCGATGCGGACAAAAACAAAACTACGTTCTGATGGTGGTGTCTCTGGTAGCAAGAAATGGTGGCACGTGTGGTTGGATGTGGCGGAGTCTACGTTTGGCAGACTTCTGTGAGATTTGAGGTTTCCAACGACGGTGAGAATGGTGATGATGATGATTGTGTGGTTTGGCGCCAAACAGATTTGTCTGTCGACGACGAAGTTTCGGAGAAAAATACTATCTCAGTCTTCAGGGGTGAAACAGAAATAATGGGTTTTTCCGAAACGTCGGCATCGACCGAGGAGTCTATGAAGCGATAAAATCCAGAAAGGCAACTTCATTATTCTACGCTTTCTAAAGAAAAACGTAGACACACCCCTGGCAGATTCACATCTTGTTGAATTGGCCTATTAAGGATACGAATCACTACACGTTTGTGAAACAAACATTATTCAGAACATTTAAGCGAATCTTGAATAGGTAAAAGTAGGTGTCGACTCCCGACATGCTGAGGTGCTGATCTCCGCTGGGACTCAGTTCCGGAGCGCGATGTGGTTGTGTCTGCACAAGGTGACCGCAAAGTTTTGGGCCCGTGATGAAGCCAAGACGTGGATGTGGTAAGGAGACAGAGACGCTTGGGAAGCCACTGCCTGACTGACTATACGCCTTCGACATCTATTCTACGCGGAACACCTCTGGCACACAAGGGCGGCGGTGAGGATGTCTTCAGCCTCGAAGACAGCGGCAGCACGTTCTGTCGAAACGTCTGGTTTATCAGATGACCAACGTCGATAAAACTGTTGTGTCTTCAACTCTTGACCTTGTGCATCGAAATGAATGCGGAAAACAAGAAATATACACAGAATTTTAGTTGGACAATCTCAAAAGAAAAGAGTATTCCGAATACTTGGGCGTAAATAGAATAAATTGTTAAAATAAACTTAAAAATTGAGTTTTGAATTGGATTAAATTGTTTCAGGATATGTCACAATGGCGAAATCTGGTAATAAAGGCGATACAAATTCAGATTCCAAAAAAGGGTGAAATTTATGGACCAGCTGAGATAAAAAAATTGAAAAAACCCACCGCAAGGCCCCTAGCACCACAGAAAAACACGTAGATAAAATATGATAAGGTTTTTGAAATTGATGTCATTCAGTAACCTAAGACCGTGAAACAACAAACTGTACATCACAGATAATGCATCTAAAGGTTAAACAGGCCGTCTTAGGTTTCTGTTGACTATAGCATGTTGATGTAACTAAGTATGAGTAAGCCCATGAAGGAGATTCATGCAACCAGCAAACCAACATCTTGGCTGCAGACGAAAGAGCAGCAGTGGCATACATCATCAACTTAACCTCAAGACTGAATTAAATAACAACCTTTCAAATATTTATTTCTCTTTTTAACACCTACCAAAGCACAGGGTGGAACAGACAGGCCCTGAGAGAATTATTAAGGCTTCTTTAATGTCTTAACTTCCCCTATTAAGCAATAAATCATAAGAATAATATTCATTCAGTTCTTACCTCAAAGAAAACGCAACTTGTCTCCATTGCAAAGCTCGGTTAGTAAATGATGTTTTAGGATATCACAGATATTTATTATAATAATCATACGAAAACCACAGATAAACTGTGAGAAAAATTCATAGTTAAATAATATTAGATAACTGGAATTTGTCGACAAACTCCTGAAACAACTGGATTGGTTTGATTAGCCTCTTACAATACGTCAAAAGATTGAATACCTTTTCATTCCATGTTGTTTCAACTCTTTTACGTACAATCTGATACTCTCACGGCAGTGAGTACGAAATCATCTTCATCACGATAATCATCATGATAACGGAGTCAGCAAGGACCTCTGAAACGTGTGTAGACGTCTACCAGACTATACGGTGCTATAACCCAGAAGACTGCCATATTTTTACCTTTTAGTTTTGTTTAAATTTAAGACTCGGCACGCAACTAATGCATCAATTATGGAGATACACATGACCTTCGTTATACGCGGGGGATGCATTTCTGCTAATTACAGAGCATGTTTAAAATACGTAAAACGGGAAACATTTAATGATCGCCATTCTAATGTTGATTTAGGGCCAAAATTCATCTGTGTTAAGCCAACATCTGCATCAAACTCCCGATAAACCTACAGAAGGTTCGACACAGGAAGTAGGCTTTACACGTTGGCCGCGGATAGGATATTGACTCTTCTCATGACACCGATATAAAACAGCTGTTATGAAAAAACGCGGACTGCCAAAGCGCGTATAACGAGAGTCATATGTACCACATTCTCTTGCAAATTATAGGCAAGTCGGTTTCACATTTCAGCCACAGTGGGAAGTAGACAGTATCAAGTAGGAAGAGCACAGCTGGTGAAAATTTAGAAAGAGAATGTGTAAACACGGACAAAGAGAAAGAGAGGTATAGAGGGTTCAACACCTTGAGAACGAAGGTAAAGTTATGTTGTGACAAGTACCCTCTCACCCTCCCAACAGCTGCAACCCACAAGCATGTGGCTTCGATCTTAAAGACGAAACACTTCTACTTTCATGGTACAAGGTTTTCCTCGAGAAGTTAAGAAACACGTCACAGTGGCCAATAAATTCCGTGCAGTTCAATCTAGCCCACAACTTAGCATCATGTTTCTCCAAGATTAATTTTAATATTATCCCATCATTTCAGCCTACGGCTACAGAGTGATCTCTTCCCTTCACGTTTTGTGACTATAGCCTCATGAATTCTTCTTTCCTTCATGTGCGTTACATATTCCTCACGTCACCCACACGTATTTAAACACACTAATATATTTAAGTTGAATATAAATAACGAAGATACTCATAGTAAATTTCGTTCATTCTCTCCCTCTTAATTTTTGTTAGGTTCGATTGTTCATCTCAGGCATTATTAATCTATAGCATTTCCTTAGTCCGTTTACATTCTTCAGGTCATCTCAAAAAATCAATCAAATTCGAACACTTCCCACGACATTTCATATCACACAAATTTTAAAGTGAAAACTATTAGCCCCCACGCCAAATCGCCAAGTTAGATGACCACCCTCCGTCGGCTATTTCAACATTAAGGTAAAACGTTTATACCAAACTCGACAAGCAAATTCAATATATAGGATGATGTGTACTTATGCCCGAAACCATAAACAATAATTTTGATGCATGGACAATTTAAAAGCAAAGCTGTCCCCCTCGACGCCATGAAGACGCTTGAGTGGAGAGGCTAACTCTTGACATCGGCTCTAGATGGGGGTGAGTGATCAGAGTCACGTCCCGGTCGTTCTTTGGCCTAGGGGAAGGACCCCCGGTATATTTTACGTAGCTGGGCCCCAGAGTCCGTCTAGACGCAGATGCTAAAAGAAAAGCCCTTTACCCCTACCGGGAATCAAACCAATCCGTAGTTAGACACTATACTAACTGAGCTACCTCTGCCCCCTAGCACTAGAAACAATGTAATAACGATAAATAAACGCAGATAGATTCAAATTTTAATTTAATTTAACATTTCCTGCGTGTCGTTTGCCTCAATGTCCATTTCATGTAGACACAAATCTTTTGCTTCAAAGCTAGGCACACTAACAAGGGTATTAGCAGTGCAAAAAGTTCGGGTTTTATTAACAGATATTTAATCTGATTCAAATTAATTAAACGACAATAAATTATTCATAATTAA